GGCCCCGCCGGAATCGGGCACTTCCTCTGGTGCCGGTGTTGCACAGCAGCGGGGGGAAGCTCGGCGGCGTCTGGGGAGAAGCGTGATTGTGCAAAGCCCCGAAGGGCGGCTGAGGGGCGGGAGCGGGCCTCCGCCAGGCCGGACGGGGGGTGTTGTGGGAAACAGCTGTCACCGAGCCTGAGGTGAGCTTAATTGCTTTCAGGCAACTGTTTTCGTTATGCGGGTTGTCACGTCATTGTGCCATTCTGAACGGTTTTCATCTCGTGCCAAGACTTGTATTCAGTACATCATCAGCTTGCTTTATATACCAGTAGCGCTGATTGCCGTGACATCTAGATGTTAAAGATTTTAAGAGTGTAATAATAGCGTGAATGCAAGTAGTCTTCCTCATTAACAGTCTTCTCCAGATCGCTAAGGTATGTAAACAAATTATCTAAACGTTTGAAGCGTTTTCCTCGCACCATGAAATGAAGGTGAAGCTGTGACGGTGCGTTACGTTAGTGACGCGGCCACAAACTGCGGTTTTGATAACTCCCCGCTGCTCTTTGCCATTTGGTGCAACAGGCGAACGTCGATGATATTGCGTGGTGGAACTGCACTACGGAACTGATTGGGCTGAAAAATAAGCTAGAGAGAATAATTATAATTTGGATTAGTTTCACATCCTGTTTCGCCATATTCACCATATGACTGCAGCAAACAGTTGGTGTGCAGGGAAAAAAATCTTGTCTTTTTCTTTCCTTTTTTTTTTCTTAAAGTGGTGTTAGCATAAATGTATGGCAGACTGGCCTAGAATTCAACTAAGCTAGCCATTACAATATTTAAAATACATGATTAATATGCATGGTTGGCTGCAAGAGAAATGCAATGAAGAAACCAGCATACTGTGCTAATTATTTAAGTTATATTCGCTTGATGTTACAAGGTGGTGTTAGCAACAAAGACACAAATTTCTTTAGAAGCTGTGAATTAAATAGATAATGTGTTAGGTGGCTGAGGGAAGCCTCTGTCCTGCCTGCAAACAAGTCTGTTAACAGTCCCATTAATTTTAGTTGAATGGATGCATAAAATGAAACTTACAATGCTTACATAACTAAGGCCTGAGTTTTTTCGGTTATGTTGCTGCAGGAAGAATAATTTGCTTGTAGTCTCAACTGGTATCCTTAACAATTAGGTTATTTAACAGTACAGAATATGAAGAGCCATGGAACTGCAAAGCAAGCATTTCTATTGTTGCATGCCCACACAAAAGATGATGTTTTATTTTTTTCTTAGAAACTCCTTAGACAGAAAGAAGCAGCTCCTTGCTGCAATTCTAGAAGAAAGTTCCTATGACTGTGTTTGAGGGCAAAAGTTCCCAAGTAGTTACCAAAGTTATATTTCCTCCAATAACTACACTTTTCAAGTTAAGTTTTCTCCACCTACAAATCAGGGTCATTATTTTGTTTTCTGTCTAGCAAGTTAGATTATTTTTTTTCCTAGAGGGAAATAAAATACGTGTGAAGAACGTTTAGATTATGGAGGCAAACATTTGGAAACTAGGAAGTGGTGGTGTCCACTAATTCTGCTTCTTCGTGGCTCCCTAGCAGTATTGTCTTTTCCCCTTTGCTTTTGTGCTTTTGATGGACAGCTTCATCTTCAACACCTGGTGATGAGCAGCAGGCAGAGCAATAGCTCACAGGAATGGTGTTGATGCTCCTTTCAGTTTGGAGTTCTTTAGTAAGGTTGTTCACAACATTGTGAAACCTGGTAAAACTTCACTAGGGCTGTGCTTACTTTCGTTATCACTGCGTCGTTCTGATGTGGCCCTCCATGCAGGTCAGAAAAGCTGGGCAGATGTGACAGGATAGAAGTAACAGTTACAACTGGTTTTACTCCTCGTCCTTTGACTGGGAAGATACACCAACTAGTGAGGAAAAGGAGTATGAATTCAAGTGTGGTCTGTCCTGCAATCATCTAACTAGATGCAGATCATTTAAGCATCATTCAACTGCTGAAAAAGTTACATTTAAGTGTATTGTTTAGCATAAGACACCATAGGAAAATGTTAAGAGATTAAAAAAAGATGGTGATAGGTTTAGTGAATGCAGTATGCCGGTGTTCCACCCACATGTCTACTTTTAGCTTTAGTTGTACTAATAGTGTGTTGTATGCCTGGACATCATTGGAGAGAGGACTGAGGGGAAAAAGAAATGATTTGGAGACTTTATGAGCAGGGGACAGAAAGCCTGCTTGGTCAAAGCCAGTGGATGTATTTGTTGTTCCATAGAGTAGGGTAGTTTTGTGCTATCAGGAGATGCATTTACTTATGTTCTGACAAACAAGATTAAATTAGATAACTGGATATTAATGGTATAGTAAGATAAGGACTTTAGGCTAAGTTACTGTTCTTGCATTGAACTTCTGCTCTTGGAGAAGTTCCCATCTGTGAAAGCACTGAAACCTTCTTTGAAACATAATCGTTGAATTTATGTTGAATTTCCTTTGCTTACAAACTAGCTGCCCATTTCAGTACTTTTGAGGGGTTTCTTAGGAACTTTTTAGCTGAAATTTAAGTATCTTGGGTTTGTCTTCTTTCCTGTATGTTTCTTTCTCACTTACTTGCATAATCACTGATTTTGTACACCCAGGTTTTTTTTTTAAATGACGGCGCTTCCATATCTTACATTGTGTTGCATCATTTTTGATTTCTGCGTTGTAAAAACATGTTGAATAAATTTACTTTTTTTTCTGTCAGTACAAAAAGTCATGGATCTTTGAGTATATTCCTTGAGCTTTCACAGTTCCCAGCTCTCAATTGCGGCCAATGTTCATTCTCCCAAGAGTTAGTATTAATATAGAGGGTGGTTTGCGATTGAATTTTGATTACTCCCACCTACCTATCCACTGCAACAGACTTCAGACAACAATGTGTTGTTAGCTTTCTATGGAATCACCTACTACATTTTGTATGTACAAATTAAGTTGAAAGGGTGTATCTTGCTCTGCTTTGAGACCTGTTGCACCAAAAGCTTCAAGTACTCTTAATTTGTCAATGTATCTGTATGGTCTCCAACTGCCATCCAAAATACCTTGTAAAGATGAGTGATCAAGTTAGCTTAAAAGCATAAAAAATAAGATCAGAGACATAATATTAATAGCTTACTATTGAAAATAGCCTAAGGCCAGGCAAGCATTTGAGGGTTGTATCATAAAAATATTTAATAGAAGCTTATTGCTTATACGTAGCTTATTTTCAAATAAAATAATACTTTTTTCCCATAGGTAATATATCCTCCACATTCAAAACTCACAGATAAAGAGGTAAGCCATGGTTGCTGTGTAAGTATATAATTTGTTTTTAGTTTAGTAATTTTAGGAAATATAATGGCTCTCTTTTCTTTTCCCCACCCTTTAGAAAACCAATATTTGCTATTTGTCTTTTCCAGATTCTAATTCAGGTAAGTGCTTCCTTTACTTTGTAGTTGTCTGTTGTTGGACTAAGCTATAGTAAAAAAGGTAGAATTTGACAGTATAAATTAATGGGTTTAGATTAAATACTTACATGAATATCTTAATATTGCAATACAGAAAAGTTGCAAATAAGGTTAAATATAAAACTATAATTGTCTGTGCTGCAGTAAGGTCAGAGAACTCTCTTTTTTTTGTTTTATGTAAATGAAATATCAGGAATGTGAATGTATAAGACCTTCCAGATGACAATCATGCAGATGTTTCAGAATACTTTGCAAGTAAAGAATGAACATCTCAATCTCCCTTTTAAACAAAATAATAATACTGTCGTGGTAGAGAGAAGTGTATGACATGAATGGTTTAATAAAGCAAATGGAAAGGGTATAGTACCATCTTCTCATAAAGGAGTAAATGTATATATTCTAAATTCATAACAGTGAAACTGACTTTAAATTCAAAAGCATTTAGAAAGAACAGTTGTGAAGGGAAAACCTAGGTTATCTTATATCTTCTCTATTCTTGATGCTTCTGTTGCTATGTGTGGTCCTGCTTGCTAAATTCTTCTTTAATCTAAACTTCTGCTGTTCTGCTGCCAAAGAGAACTTGGAGGCATGTGGCTGAAGACTTGGACCACCTGCAAAAAGATACAGCAGAACTACAGACACTTCCTTTCACATGTAATTCTCTACAAAAGTCAAAACCTATAGTAACAGACTTGTCCCTATAACTGCTCTTACTCTGTGCTTTTGGTTGCTCTCTCTGATATAGGGTGATGCAGATGTGTGCTTTTAATACATGTGTGAGCTCCCCTACATAATTTTACAAACCGTCTTGGCTAATTTTTCCCCTTTGTCTTAATGTCAGTAAAATTAAAGTATGTTCTCTGTTCTCTATATCCTGTATGTAAGTAGAGGAAGAGCTTTCTGTTACTGAAAGAGAAGATGAGTTAACTGTATCTTCCTATTACTGTCATTGTTAATGGTTATAAACCTGTCCAACCATCAAAAGGTGTATTGATGGTAGAAAATAATGTGTTAGGAAAAAAGGCTGATTTTTTTTTTTTCTGCAAATAAGAGTGGTAGTACAGTTATTTTAGGCAGAATAGGTA